AAGTGTGCAGTTATCTTAAACAGTCAAAGTAAGAGTCTATCTGTAGCAACTGCTTTAATCAATGTAGACCAAAGGCCATAACTAGTATGCATATTATTAATGGTAACAGCTGATAATTATCGAATACAATTCACGAAATTTGATAGTTAACTAAAACATTTAAAGAAAAGTAACTAAAACATTCTGCTTGGTAGGTATAATTTTTTACTCTGTATGTTTACTGCATATAATTATAACAAATTTTAGTTATTTATAATTTCACGATGCTGATAGTGGTTTAACAGTTGCTTTGCAATAGTTGCCGGTTCGATCTCCGCTAGATCGATTATCTGGATTTAAAGTATTTATCTCAGTTGTCTATTAATCATAGTACTAACATTTATATTTTAGATAAATAAGTATTAATTCTTCTTTCACAACAAATAAAACATGTATTTGACAAAAATACTTCGAGATTCGAAGAGCGACAAGTGTTATTTTTCTTCTAGAGAATATATGTCATAACATAAGTAGATAAGACATGCGAATCCGAGGCAAAAATGTAACATGTTCATTATATCCACTTTATTACAGAATGACCTTTGATAATTGGTACCGTTTGGAAAAATTTATTCCAATAGTGGCAACTGCATCAAATTATCACATCATTAACACTCAGGTGTTCTGTCTATATTTATCACCTTGTCGCGATGTAATAGAAGTGTGAGATGAGAAAACACTACAAAATAATAATATTTTGAAGTGAATAGTCATTCATTCATTTGAACGTTAATACCAGCTGATAGTATTGTGCCTGCACGTTATATAAACGGGAAATTTACCATGTACGTACCTATGCTTGTTTGCCACTATCGTAATATAAAAAAAACTATTTTGCACGTTAAATTTCTCGGTATATATATTATAAGGGTATTGTGTCCTGAATATCATGTCATTTTTAATGTGTACGAAAAAACGACTAAGAAAGCTGACACCGTTGTCTGGACGTCGAAATTGACCCGTGATCAGGTTGCTTGTCCGTCCATATTATCGTGACTTCATAAATAACATCAGCATGGTAAATGTCTCGTTTATACAATTGTAAACAACCGCGAATAAACTTTACAACTATACAACTGATATTTTTTTGCATATGTTTTGTACCTTTATTAGGGTTATCAAACATCCAGATTTGCTGAAAGTGTTTTGTAACATGTTTTTTTTTCTTTCCAGTAGATAATACTCGATATCAATAACGCAAAGGCCACAGATTTTGAAGTGTCACTTGTGTGAATGATAATGGAATTACTTTAAATTTAGCAAGATTATTTTTTACTAGATACTATTAGTACTTCATACTAGGATTTGATAATATTAGTGTGTGGATTTATTATATAATATATACATAGATACAACATCAATTCTTAGGATATCAAAAGTATAACTACCCGTAGAATCAGATGGGCTGTATTGCTTGTTTGTCACCACTGTGCAATAAAAAAACTACTTAATACTTCGTGTGTGAAGACTATTTAACGACATTTGACTTATATTGCTTCCCACAAAAACAACTTGTTTGATTATTATATTAGGTCAAACGGTAAAAACTTGAAGACGGGAGTAAACGCTTTGAATTTAAATAGTAGTAATGAAACGCGGTTTAATTTAATGACTCTAAAATGATGTTCACTTTAATTGTAACTCGCGGCTGCTGCCGCATGAATTACTATAGATATAATTTGTATTGATTGTATGTCTTAATCCAAGAGATGGTTCATCTATAAGCCAGGCTCCATTCAAATTCGTTCCACCATTTAGTTCTGACCTCCAAATTGAGTAACAAATATCCAATCATCTTTACGAACTTTCATGTCTATAATAATATTAATAAAACACAATGCTATATAATTTGCTTTGATATATAATAGATTACCTTCGACATTATTATGATAAAAAAGTTTATTTTAAATAAACAGAAGCACAACCTGATTATACATTAATGGATGTTATTTAAATATTATTATTGTTATTTTAATATATTTTTATAAGAAGTAGGTACTTCCTGCATAAATAGGTAATACAAGTAATATCAGAGGAGATATCGTGTAATAAAAATATATCTTAAAATGTCGAATATACTTATTTGTTCTTTAGAATGTTTTAATAATTTAAGTAAATAATTTTAGTTAAATAACAAAGACAGCGAAATCACATTTAATTGTGATTCAGATAATCTATTCGAAATAAACTGCTAAGTACTTGCGTGATAATTGTTTTATCAAGAAAGTAAAATTTGTTAATGAATAAATAGAACTATAAATAAATTATACCTACTTAGATATTAGCTGAGCCCGCGAATTTGTGATATTTGGAGTAAGAATATTTTATTTGTACCAATTTATGTATTTGACGATTTATATATACGTTTTATTTTATGTATAACGTTTTTGGTTGTACCGATTAAAATAAACCTAAACCTAAAATATTAGTAAAAACCTAATTCAAATAGGGTATACCATTTATGAGATTAGCGCGTTTAAACTCACATATAAAAATTCTAAGTATCATTGTTTTAGGTTCTATTAAGTTTGATAAAGTCTACAGTAATATTTTTTCTTACTTTTCATATACAGACAGAAATTAGTTACATATTTATTATATCTATACCTACAATTGGGAACATACTAGAATACTATTGTACTTTAAATTTACATCACATATCACGGTGACGTCAACGGCGTGTGAGTTCTTTTATCAAGCGATTTCGCGGAAAACGATATGGCGATAAGTAATAACTCACCAAGATAACTGGACAGGTGTATTACACTGTCTAAATATTGCTAACATTATATTTTTGTACATTTAGAAACGATGCGACTTAGTAATTACATGTACATACTATTAAATTGTTACTAACTAGTTGCGACTTTGAATTTAGCTGATACCAAACTCTCCAGTGATAATAAATACGTTAATAATTGTAATTAATTCGAGATACAATTATAAACTCGACCTCTGTTACGTTTAATTCGAATACGAGCTGATAACGAAATTTGAGCAAACATTCACTACAATAATAGTGATTAGTTTAACAATTTCATCTGGAACTTGGAGACAGTAATATAGACAGATAGAGTGACTTACATATATAGATAAATAGTATTTAATTAAGTAAATAAGTATGAATGTTATAACATTAAAATTATAATATTCATAGTTATTTATTAAAACCATATATAAAGTAATTATTATTATGTATTTCTACTTTGGCCTACTACAGTATGTATTAGCGCAGTCTTTGCTAAATATCCTTATCTTACAGGCTTATGGGTCTGTATTTTGTAATTAGGTCTCCCATTAAAACATTTTTAATTGGGTTGGTGTCGAAATTGTTGAGCCTATAGCGCGTTTAAGCAAATGCGTATTCTTATTTCCGAATTATGCAATGAAATGATGAGTATGACAAATATGTGACATTATTAATATCTTTTATTTTTGCCCATATTGTATTTGTATACATTACGAATAGTTATCAATATCAACGAAAATTATAATAATCTTGTCAACATGTAATTTTCTATTGTATTCCTACCAACGCCAGAATTCGCTACATTGATTGTGTATGCTGTCCATGAATTATAATTCATGAATAGCATACACAATCAATTTGACATCAACATCGCATTTTTAGAGTAGGTGAAAAATAATTGTATTTCACCTACTCTTAAAACGCGAAATCACGCATTATCGTTTATCAATATAGAAGTACCTACCTTGTTTTGATGAAATTTTAACTAGTACTATTCTCGGTTCATCGCTACTAAATAATTACTAATGAAACTACTTAATCAATTTCTATTCCAATCAATATTAAATTTACTGAAAAGTAGGTATTTAGCATAGTAAAATTGTAAAGGCACTTTATATATAATTATAATTATCAAATTAAATATTTTATATAGTTAAATTATACATTCCAATAGGTAAGTCGAATGAAACGTCAAGATTGTATTGCATTTGTTATCTGCTCAACGTTGAGTTTATAGTTTTACGCAATATAACATTCATGATTATATAAGTACAAATAATTAATTGCTATTGGCATCAAACAATTACTATGTAACTAGACAAGCAACATAGTACATAGATTTATTTATTCTGCATTTTCCTGCGACAATTACATACCTAATTGCAATTATAAAAATTAATACAATCTATTGCAAATTGCTAATATTACCTATTACATACGTATATTGCCTATACTTATAGGAAAATTTATAATATCAATAGATATACAATTTATACTAAACTTTACAACTACTGGAACTGAGTTTAAAAATTATATTGTCCAAATAACTTGATAATTTATGATTTCATAAGCTGTATTTCCTAGGCCTAATGCTACGCAAAGTCTAATAACAACTACAGCACACGCAGTTTGCGTTTAGGTACATTTTATCCTTCGTAACTACTAGTTCATAAAACCTATTACATTTAGGTTAAATAAAGTCTATATTCAAATTATTTAAAAGACGACTCAATCAATCAAATTACGAAAAAGCTTTCAAGTTAGTTCAAATTATTTCTGACAAAAAACATTTACACAATCAATTTGGTACAATCGGCAGCTACCGTAAGATTTCATTGACACTACTGGTTGCTAACAACTTTATTGGTGTGAATTTCATAGCAACTCTATGTGGTTTAATTAGGGAAATATTTTTTTTAGAACAATATACCACAGAAAATTCCTTCGAATTGAAAACCTCTTACGTTTGGAAGTCAATTTAAAAAAAAGGCAACCATTTTGCCTGGAAATTTTGGAAAGCCATTTTGCAAGCCATTTTGTAAATATTCATTCTGGGCCTTTGCCCACTGGACTCTTCCAGTGATAGTAAATTTTCAACGGCATATTATTATTATCATATTACTACGATACTGTTTATTTTAGGCAATACATGAGTATTATTGATATGAATATAAATTTTTAGTACTTTCATTGTTTGCATGTTATTTCTTACCAAGGTTAGCGTAGTATCCCGCGGGGTGCATCATGAACGAACGAATCACCGTTGTAAATTTTCCATTTGTCACTTACCTAAAACGAACAAAATGTAAGGTGAAACAATGAACATATACATTGACTATACTACACCACACAACATTAGGTATTTGTGGTGACATTTTAACAGGTATTTCAAAGACTAGTTAGAACTCAGAATCAAGATTAAGATATGTTATATAATATATGTAAGCTATTACAAAAGGTTTTAATCTCTGATTATATTATTTTAATCAAACTGCGTCATCTTTTAGTGCTTCGTTGTGATAAATAGATATTTTTAATACAATTTTAATAAAACCCCCGATTGCGTTAAAGGTACATGCTGATGGACCAGTAAATAATGATAAGATTGCTGATCTGAAGTCAAGTCAATTAGGCCATCATGACAAAATCCTGAATGTATGGAAACCGACTTGATATGGTACATTGCTAGAATGAGATCACTAATACCTATTACTTAGAATCCTTTTTCACTTCCTCCTCCTCCCAGCAATAAGCATTAAATATTGGTATGCCTATCATAACGATTCTTTTGGTTGCTATTGCACCAAGAGTAAGGGACTAAGCTATAATTAGCAATGAAGACTATTGGTCCTATCAGCTTTGGTCGACTTTAAAAACCATCATGGTTGCCTTATAGCCAATTGTTCAAGATGAGATATGTAAATAACTTAACTCCTCATCCTTTATAGAATTCACTAGTCTCATCATTTTAACGTATAGGTAGGTATTATTAGCACATATTGGATTATCATTCCATTATCAATTATTTTAAAGCGCTAAGTGTTAATAAAATTATTTTTTTATACCATAGTGTCCCAGGTTTAGTTATAAAAAGAATAAGAATTTCAACATAGCTTGAAAACAAGTACAAAAGTACATATGTATATAGAATTGGCTTCTTATAATATCTACCAAGTACAGGATTATTAAAGTGGCAATAATTATATGCGTGTTAATTAATGATACGACCGACACATTAACTAAACACTATATAGGTAATAGAATTAATTAAGTTCCTAATTAACACAAATTGGAGAGAACCGCAGAATGTAATAATAATAACTATAGTTTAATACGTACGTTTGTAAATAGATCTAACACTTATTCATTGATCACTATTGCTCAATTCATTTTAGTGCTCGTTACTCACAAATTACGTACGTAATATTTATGTGTGTAAAATATTAATAACTATGTCTTCATTTATTTATAATTCTCTGTAATGATTAATTCTATTTATTAACTATGCAACTGTATATAACTAACACACAATAACTAACATTGTAATACTTTTTTTCTTATTTTGTTTTGTCTGCGTTATTACAAAGTTAAAATTTATAGTAAAATCTGTGACAAAGTGGGAAATGTGTGTCTTTATTTAAATTTAAACATTAACTGCATACTGTGCGTATCTAAATAGTATGTATTTATAGTAAATTGATAATGTTTACTACCTACTTACATACATGTCAGCTACAAGTTTAAAGTATTTTAGTAATAATTTGTATGTATTCCATAACTATATGTATCTAAATAGAGACATATTTAATTTAAAGAAAAAATCAATACTCTCCAATGGTTATACTCCACAACAATCCTACAGCAATCATGAAATTTCATCGTTGCAATTATCTCATTTGAATGTTTCAGTATGGACAGGGAGTATGCATGCAGACTGCCAACTGCCGAATATTTTCGATTCGTCTAAAATAACTGCGTTAACTCTGAACTGTAATAATAACGAGAATTGGAGAAATTTCATTTATATCTACCTATTGGTTATTAACAGTTAAGAGGTCACTATCCCACTCATTGGTCTTAAGCGACATGTTGTGTAAGTTTTTTTTTTATAAAAGGAACTCCCTATGCGCACTGAGTAGTAACAAAAAAAAGTGAATTTGCAAGCTAAAGTTTCAATAGGCTTAACGTTTTGATATAGAAACGATAACCAGTTTAAACCATTTAATAGACATACTAAAAACGATAATAAAATGTAATGAAGAAGAAAACATTCAACGGATACTGACAATATCTTTCTTGAGTTGCTATTTAAGAGGACTAAAATGATGCTGTATCACATCGTCGTCTTAAACCACTTCTATCCTATCAAAACGAATTTTTTTCAGCGTTAAAAACTTTTTTTAATTGCCGATCAGTATCAAATAATATAATACATTATTATTTGTTATTGATACTAATATATATATATATATATATTATATTACTAAAAACACCACCAATAACTTAGGTTTAGTCCAATGCAGCAGAGATATACGGCTATACCTTCGATATCGCATGAGTTGCATTACTCGCGTACATTATTTGCGTGAATCTGCATAGCATATTCGACATAGGAGCCAAAATACAGGCTTGCATATTCCGCCCAAGGCATGCGGAGGCGAGCACACGTGGCTACCACGGCTGTCTGGGCTAGGAATCTGACCAAATGCCCATCGAAGCACGATTGTTAGCTAAATAGCGACGGCTTATTTACGATCTATACACCTCGAGGAAACAATTCTGAGGTGAGAGGTCTCACGCAAGTATTTTAAGTAAAATTGTGAGCCTAACTCTAGCATTTTATTGTGGAATCAAATATCTTTGGCTTTATTTATTGTCACTTGCAGTATTGTAGGGGATTTAATAGTTTATCTTGAAATGGTTACTGTTTGGACAAAACCTACACTGAGTTAAGGCTTTTGAATTAATTGTTGAATGAAATTGCAGTGCCCTCATTAACTTTTGTTACTTAATATTTCTATTTATAAAACAAAAATCATTACAATAATTACGAAGACAAAATCAACCCAAAATGTGTGAATATTTTGTAGTTATTGTTATATCTTGCTGCCGATTAGTATATATAAATACTTTATCTATAGCTATTGAAATAACCATAAATTAAACCTTTATTTATTATGAATGTAACATATATAAACGAAATAATTTGATGAAGTTGAAAAGTTAGATGAGAAATGACAAGATTTTTTTTTATATTCATTCTATCCATTATTAATGAGCAAACATAAAATTGAAGATTTCAATTTACTAAATCATTTTACTGCAGCGAGGTTTAACCATTAAAACTGTTGTAACAATAGCTATGTCAACATACAAAACGATTTACGCCATTTATGTATAGATAATCCTCATAAATAGCAATTTGCGTCGTGACAAACGATCTGCGCTGAGTCGCTTAGTTTGGAAATCGCGTATAATGCCGCTATTGTTAATTATACAAGTCACCGCCTCGCTAAACATACGATTTATTATCAGCAAAATGGAACAACGATACATCTAGCGTGAGATTTGTGCGGCAGCCATGTCGTCGTAATGCAATGAATAGTTTAAAACACTGAAAAGATTAGACAAATGATCGTATACAGAACTCAAACGTAGAGAACGTGTTACTTTGCTCGGTAATGATTGACTTTCCAACTCATAATTTTAAGAATCTAGACTAAACGTGGAATCTTAATGAACCGCACGCTGTTTATTTACGTAGCGTGTCAGAGTCGGGTTTACAAGTTGAAAAATCGACATCTCCGGCTTCCAGCAATGCAGCAATGTCGACCGGCGATCGAATGGTGAGATAAAAGAAATCGGGCTTCACATCTGACGGCCACGCTTTTCGGTCGAGAAACACTACTGACAGCGACCTTACCGGTGTACTTACTTAACTTTATGCTTTTAACGGAAACTTATCGCGATATCAAATCTGGAGCGGCGATTAAGAAACAATAGGACATTAATAAAAAGTTGTGGTGCGAGGCATGATAATGTTCCGTCTACGGCCTGCTAGTGTGTTCAAGCCCACCGGTGGGCGTGAACGATAAAATGTACATTTTACTTCGGCGCTTAAAAATACTAACACCGGTTACAGGTGTCAAACACACCGTACACAGGGGTTGTATATCTCTAGGCAAGCACAGGACAGGGGCAAATAAAACAATGGAACAATGAAATACGCAGGACTAAAGCGCGCCTCTGCTAATGAACTGCTGCGCAGACACTAAACAGTTTTGGTATTAGAATATTTACTTTTAGTCTATTAAATTTTTATATGTATGTATTAACAATTTATGAATACAATATATATATTAATATATATTGTATACAATACAAATAGGTTAAATTATATTTAATTTTTGATTGACTAGTTATACCACCTTGGTACATAAAATTTTTATATTTATATTCACTCTACATGTTGAAAAAAAAGTGTGAGTTCTAAAGAAGATTTTTAAATACTTTATTTCTATAGCAATTTATTTATGTAGGTATAAAATAAATTTTTTTTATATCCATAATAAATATAATTTGATTTATATTTCGTTCGTTGAAATAATTTCGTTACGTTTAAAACGGTGAACAATACATGACAGAGATAAACTATAATATGCATGTATTATAAATATATATATCTGCCTCTTGAATCACTTTTATCTATTGTTGAAAACTGCACTAAAATCCATTGCGTAGATTCGCAGATCTAAGCGTACAGACAGCGACAGCAGGATCGATGACATGTTCAATCACCAAGTTGTTATGTTGTGTTAGTTATTGTTTAAAATAGAAAATAAGCAGGAAAAAATGACTGTTATCAAATCTAACTATTTGCACTATTTAATTGCAATACCTGTTACAGTTGATAATCATAATTCGAGTTCATATCCATCTCCAGCCATTCATTAAAGTAATTAGCGATTGGATAAAACGATCAGGAGTAGCTCAATATAGATCCAATTAAAATAATTTATGTGCCACAATAAAAATGTGTTACTTTTTTTTACTTTTAGTCTGAATAGTATATAAAACTAATAATTATATTGATCGTCATTTAGATATCGAGTCACGAGTCCCAAGAGGGTTTGGTCAGCGATGCGGTGCTAGATGAAAAAGCATCAGTCGAGGTCCAACGCGAGGTATGCGCGGAATGGGAGGGAGCATCCGGCGGCTGCGATTGTTACCAGTTATCACTGAATGTTTTCCACCGGGGCATTTTGTGTCGCCACAAAAAACCACATAAA